GAGGCCTGGACGGCAGGACACACGTTCCAGTCCGGGCTCAGTCTCTGACCTGCTGGGAAGTCTCAGGCAAGCCCTTCAACCCCTCCAGTTCCACCAGTACATGGAGTCTTGGATTAAGTTAGCCGTGTTTTTCTAGTTCTCTACACTAAACGACCTGGTGCTAGGGGCTGAAGAGGGGACGAGAAAGCACGTTTGAGCTAGGCCTCAAAAATAAGCAGAAAAGTCAAGGACAGTCAACGTTAGTCTTACGTCCTAGGACCCAGACCAGAGGTTGCCTGAGAAAGGGGATATCATGAAGGAGGTTTCTAGAGTGATGAACATGTTATATAGCTGACAGGGGATTGGTTCCATGGGTGTATACATTTGTCAGAAATGATTAAATTGAATGCTTGAGATCTTTGCATTTTGTTATATGTAAGTCATATGTCAATATCCTATATAATAAAAGGGTGATATGCAAATTGACCTTAACAGCAGACCGACTAGGAATGACTGGTCACTATGACACACACTGACCACCAGGGGGCAAACACTCAATGCAGAAGATGCCCCCTGGTGATCAGTGCGCTCCCACAGGGGGAGCTCTGCTTAGCCACAAGCCAGGCTGATGGCTGCCAGCACAGCGGTAGTGGCGGGAGCCTCTCCCGCCTCCTCAGCAGCACTAAGGATGTTTGACTGCAGCTTAGGCCTGCTCCCTGCTGGCAAGTGGACATCCCCTGAGGGCTCCCGGGCTGCCAGAGGGATGTCTGACTGCCAGCTTAGGCCGAATCCCCCAGGGAGCAGGCCTACGCCAGCAGATGGTCATCCCCCAAGGGGTCTAGTGACCTGCTCACTGCCATGTTGGGCTGGGTTTTAGGGTATGAAGGGAAGGACCTGAGATCAGGTGGTTGCAGCCTGATATGCATACAGAGCAGTCCTAACATGTTCCTAGCACCCATGGGTACTGCTGGCTGAGACTGCCCTGCCTTGGAGGCTAGGGGTCCATTGGCTGGCTGGGTGGAGAGAAGCAGGTCTCCCACACTCCCACCCCATGAGGACTCTGCCAGGAGGGGAGGGGGAAGGGAGGGAAGAGGAGGAAAACCAGAGAGGAATCATCAAAGTGAGCTGCACGCAGTGCCCTAGAGGAGAATCAGGGGAAAATAGTCATTTCCTATACCCAGGCTGAACTCCGTCAACTTCCCTCACCGGAGAGGGGAGGGCACCATGGTTGTGTCACAGCCAGCTGGGAAATGGCCCCCAGGGACTATTTCACTCCTTAGGAGGTAATCCCTCCCTCCTCATCCAGCCACTTTTATGTTTCTAAACCTCATAAGCCTGGGCACCTCTGCCTGTGTGTCAGGAATTCCTAAATCTTTCTGTACCTGCCCTGTTCCCCCAAACTATGACATGCTCTTCCTAGCTGCTTCTCCCTCCTGAATCATGCTCCCTCCTGTGTGTCCAGTATGTTCCGTGGCTCTCAAACCCTCTCACTTCCCAAACCACCCATCCCTTTATTTAACACCATGACCCTATCTGATCCCTCCCTTCCCTGAACATCTGTTGCAAGGCCAGGCAAGGGTTTCTTTTCATCCCCAGTCCCTACCCGGCCCCCACAACGTTCGTTTCCTCAGCTCATTTACAAGGTCAGTGAAGGCAGGGAAGAGCCTTAAAGGCTGCTGTTTCTCCCACCGACTTGGGAACATAGTAAATTCTTAGTAAATATTTATTGGTAGGTTGATGGTTGGAATGAGGAGATCTAGACCAATGTAGGGATTGTCTGTGCCAAATCAGAAGTCCAGGAAGTATTTTCATCTCCCCCAACTGTTTTCAACAAAGGTCCCATCTGGCCCTCGGCCTTGGTGGAAAGGGTGGGGTAGGGGGGTCAGAGGGGCTGAAGGAGATGGAAGGCAGCATGGCTGTGAGATGTTTAATCCTGACCCCAGAAGGCCCAGGCTGCAGAGCTGTGTCCCCACACCCTCCTTCGGAGAAAATGCAGCTGTGCTGGGAGTGCTGGGCAAAGCAATGAGGTCAGGTTCCATCACAGCCAGTGCGATTCATAGGTGAGCTCATCCTTCTGGATTTACAGCAACAGTCGAGTCATTACTGAAATTGCAGTGATGAACCGACCTACCTGCTGGGAAGAGAATTTGGGATAAATCATGAACTTCAAGGACTTTCTGCCAGGAAACCGAAGAGGTAACCATGGCCACCCGGAGGGCTCTTCATCTTGAGCAAGGAGCTCCATGCTCACGGATTAGATGTGCAGGCCTGCGCCCCGTACAACCTCCCCTTTGTCTCTTTTGCTTTCTTTGTCGAATGGGAGACAGAACTAGCTCAGGAATCTGGAGCTTCACGGGCCCAGGGTTCAGCTGTTTTCAGTTCCAGAGCAATTAACTGAGGGCGGCTTGGGCACAGCCGTTGTGTTGTCTGCAGAATGGAAAACAGAAACCTCCTCTGGCTCAGTGGCAGGGAAACAGAAAGGAAGGGAAGGTTTGCGGAGGGTCTCTGCACAATCCCCATGATTGTTATCATGTGGCCATGTCCCGGCTCATTCCTACATGGTGTCGCTGAGGGCCAGGCTGGGGTTTCATCCATCCATACACTCGTTTTTGTCCCTTGAAGAACGGCTGTCCCCACACCCACACGCCCACCTGGCAGCTGCCCTGGGGCTTGAGCAGCCCCAGGTGAAACAACAAGCCTCACCCCAGCTGAGAGTTCTCCAGACCAGAGAACCCCCGCTGATGGGCTGGGTGGGCGGCGTCCCACGGGGATGAAGGAGCGTGCTGAGAAACAGATGTTCAGGAAGACATCCTTCCATTGTCTGGTTGCACACCACTGCCCCTCCCAACCCTCGCCCATCTCCTGCCCCACACCGGTCCAGCCCTGGACGTGTGAGAAAGTTACATCAGAGCCTAAGTTGGTGAGATGGGGGTGAAGGTGGGTACTGGGAGCTGAGGTGTGCTGCCCACGTGTGAACTGCCACTGTACCTGCCCCCCGAGCTCCACTAACCAACCCCCTAACCAACCGGGAGGCTGGGGAGGCGCTGATTCTGGCTCCGCAGAGGGCACTGTGTTTTGACGAACTAGGTCAGATGCTGCAGGCCCTGGTTAGCGAGGGGATCAGCCTGGACAAGGAAGCCACACACTGTTCTGAGCTGGGCCTCTTGCTCTAGCCATGCCTCCAGGACGCCTTCCAGGCCTTCTCCTCCACCCCCTCAGTGCTTTTTCCCTTTCCTTCCCCCACCAGCTTTTCTGGGCCTTCTCACTGAGCTCTCTCAGGTGGGGAACCTTTTCTCCTCTTGTTTCTCTTTTTCCTGACCCTTTCCTTCCAGGCCTTGCTGATGGATTAGAACTCTTAGATGCCCCCTTATGAAATAAAAACCTAACTTCCAAAAGACACACAAAAAAGACAGTACTTACTTACTGCCTAGCAATCCCTGTGCTAAGTGGAACTGAGCACTAACATTTACTGAGCCCTGGCCATGCGCGGAGCACTGATCGTAGAGCCTCACCTGCTATTGCAGGTGTGTGGCATGCCGCCCAAATCCCCGCTTTGGGACCGAGGCCCTCATCCCCAGTGCAGTCTCTTTAGGTGTTTCCCCTCAACGAAGAGAGAGAGTTGCCTTGTTTAATATAAGGCCGTCTCTTGGGGCAACAGCTTCCAATGCCAGGCCGATGTGGGGGTATATGAACCCTTGCTTCAGTGGGGGACAGCTTCAAGGGATTGTTCCACCCGTGG